CTGAAATTAACTTTCATTAAAGTTGCAAATAAATTTGTAAATTCTGCAATTATGTCTATTTCTAATGGTTTTGCATTATCACTTCCAACACAAGATCAATGTTGAAGTAGTTTTTATTATTCTGAAATCAAAAGAACAGGAAATAGATATATAGCGAAATATAAATACTGCTTAGTTAAGCTAAATGGTAAACCAAATAGGCTTCAATGGCATGTTCTTCGGTGTGATGATTGGTCTGTCTTTGAAAAAACATCATATCTTCAAAAAATTAATAAAAATACTTTATCTCAAAAACATCCCTATGATAATGAAGAAAATATATATATTAAACAAACAGAGACACAAGTAAATAATAATATGCAATAGTTGTCTGTATCTACTTCTTGCCAAAGCACAATTTTTAATTGGTATACTCAACCTTTATCTAGTGTATAATCTAAAAACTTTAATCAAAAATTTTTAAAAGCAGTTATTTATGAAAATCTTAATTTTTGTATTGTTAAAAATCTATATTTAAAAGATTTTTTTTATAATTTAAATTTTTCTTATTATTTTTTTTCATGAGATATAGTTAATAGAAGTCTTTTGATTAAGTTGTTTTCTATTCATATACAAAATAAATTAACTAACCTTTTTAGTCTTACAGATTTCACAATCTTTTTTGATAGATAGACAGATAATTTAAATAATTCAATATATGTATTTATGGCTCTTAAAGAATCTCAAAAAATTGTATTAGATATTCTTGACCTATTTGCATATCAGCATAGAGGTGATTTTCTAAAAAATAAAATAAATAAGATTTTATCTATAAATGGCATCAAAATATCATCTGCAATTATTTGCATTATAGATAATCTGTTAAGGAGGCATCCATAAATAACATTATATTTCCCTATATAGAAATTTTTGACCCCCTAAACTATATAAAAAAAAAATTAAAAATCTGTATATTTATATATAAGTTTTTACAAAACCTTGATTATCTTGTGACCTAGTAAGGGCAGTGTCATTTATCACCTAATTATTTTTTATCAGAAGCTTACCCCCTCCTCCTCTTAATATAAAAAAAAATCAGGTTCTTATATATAATTTTAACTTTTTTTATCCTCCTCCCCTCTAAAAAATCACCTGATTTTTGTTACGTTTCTAATACAAATCACTATATAAATCACTTATAGCAAAAATACCATATTTACCCAAGAAAAAATATTTTTTTTTACTAAATTAATCATTTTTCTTGATTAATTAAAAATTGTAGAACTTATTACAGCAAATCTAATAGTAATTAGATCATTTAAATCGGCCTAGTAGATATTGAAATATCTTCAAAATACAATTGGCTGACTATGTGTAAACAAATATTTGTTTATATAGAATTTTATATAGTCAGCCAATTATTTTTTAAAGATATCTCAATATCTACTAGACCAATTTAATAATCTAACCACTATTAGATTTGTTATAATAAGCTCTACAACTTTTAATTAATAGAGAAGAGTAATTAACTTAGTAAAAAAATAGTTTTTCTTGGGTAAATATGATATTTCTGTCTATAGTAATATATATTATAAGCGAAATTGCCATGTTTATCCAAGAAAAACTATTTTTTTACTAAGTTAATCGCTTTTTTCTATTAATTGAAAGTTGTAGAGCTCATTACAATAAATTTAATAGTAGTTAGATCATTAAAATTAGCCTAATAGATACTGAGATATCTTCAAAAAATGATTGGCTAACTATATAAAATTCTATATAAACAAATATTTGTTTATATAAAATTTTACATAGTTAGCTAATTATATTTCAAAGATATCTTAGCATCTACTAGACTGATTTTAATGATCTAACCACTATTCAATTTATTGTAATAAGTTTTACAATTTTTAATTAATAGAGAAGAATGATTAACTAATTAATAGAGAAGAGTGATTAACTTAGTAAAAAAATAGTTTTTTTTTTAGATGAACATTATATTTTTGCTATATAGTATTTGACAAAAGCTTCTCTGCACCCCATAAAAGTTCACAAAATTATGTGTAGTACCTTAAAGTTTTTTGTATACAAAGAGTATTATGAATATGATCATCTATACATTTTACAGAATGATAGATTTTCTGTATTATATATTGTATAATTATAAATTTTCACATATTCACAAAATATAAAAATATACAAATATTTTGGATAGGTATATCTCAATAATGAAATAATCAATTTTAACATTTAAAGATTCTTTTGAATTTTACATGTTTATAAATTTCAAAAAAGTTCTTAAATATCAAAATTAACTATTTTATTGTTAAGATATTCTTATTCAAAGTACTAATGATTATTAAATTTTAAATAGTACTGGTTAAATTTCTTTTTAAAATATAAATACATATAACTTGATAATGATATAATTAATTTTGATGATTAAGATCTCATTTAAATTCTATAGATTTGTAGAATTCAAAAAACCCTTAAATATCAAAATTAATTATTTTATTGCTATGATATTATTGTTGAAAATTTGCTAAAGATTAAACTTTAATTAATTTTTTAACAAACTTCTAATAATAATATCTCAGCAACGAAGTAATTAATTTTGATAGTTAAAGCTTTTTTTAAATTCTATAAAACTGTAGAATTCAAAAAAAGTCTTAATTATCAAAACTTATTATTTTGTTGTTGAAAAAATTTTATATAAAGTTTAAAAAATAATTTATTCAATAATAATTTTTTTCACTTAAACAGATCACACCGGTGTCTTTTATTTAATAATGATTGAATTTGTGGAAATATTGTAAACATTAAAATGAGGATTTGATATTCTGCAGTTGTTTTGTATAACTTAACTGATTACTTATACTATCTACAAGTAACCTGGTTGCACCGGCAAGGTATAATCAATTAAGATAAAACCCTAACCGAGGGCTTATTCAACTACTGCTCTACAATAGGATATCGCTAATCTGATAATATCTTTTATAAAGAAGTGAAAAAAAAGAAAAATTTTTTTAAAACAAACAAAGAGATATAGAAGGATATATAAAAAAAACAAATAAAAGAAAAGAAAAGAGATAAGAGAAGAACAAGAAAACTAAATTAAATATGAGATTTTTTACTTATATCAGATAGTTACAATTATAAGCCTGTATCAGGCTCTTTAAAAATTATATACTACTATCTAAACTATTCTCTATACTAATTTATATATATAGTATGTCTAAACTTAAAACCTAAAAAAACAAAAAAAAGGAAAGCTTCTTCAATATCAGTACTGTAGAGAGGTCAAAAATTTGTACTATTAAGCTTGGAGTATCATTTGTTCAGGTTGTTATATTCAAGGCATGTAATCTAGTTATTCACATTTCATATATCTACATATTTGTTGTGACAGGTAATAAATATAAACAATGCCACCTGATTTGGTAAGTAAACAATACATCGATCTTTTAAAGAGAATAAGCTAAATCGCTCACTTTTTACAAAATTTTCTTTGAAAAAAAAGTTATTAATAGCAACCTGATCAAAGATAAGTTTAGTTCCCAGAATAAACCTTCTAGTTTAGATGCCAAATATCTTGAGAAGTTTACTAAAAGCAAAGATTTGACTTCAAGAAAAACTATTTAAGTTATGCTTGCTTCTCAGTATTTTATATTTACAAGCTTTGTTGACAACTGCTTACTCAGAGTCAGAACTGCAAATAGTATATTCTTGGACTTTTCTATAGCATTTTTCTGTAGTTCAATTTTTTGTTGCATTGTCCAAAGAATCATTAGAAAGAGTTGTGTCAATTTTAGAATTATTTATTTAATAATAATATATTTAAAACTATATAATATTTATATAGTAAATATTTATTAAAAGAATCTATTAATCTGTAGAATATGTAAGAACCTATATTCAATGTCTTCTTTGTTTACAGATAGTTTAAAAATACTATATATAATTTTAAGAGATCTATAAGTACAGAAAACTTTTGTTAGACACTGTAAGTGATTTATATAGTGATTTATATTATATTATACTATAATTACTCTTCAGGTGACTGGCAAATTATTAATTAATAAAATAAATTAAAAATAGTTTTAAAACTATATTTATAATTAAAAGATAGTAAAATTTAGTTTGGTTTAATTAAACTTTAATATATAAGATGGGTATGGGTATCGTGACGTATTACCAATTATGACGCAGTTGCGATATCTTGTGACCTAGTAATCAGAATTCGATGATTTTGGTATCAATCAATCTGTCTTGGTTAGATGAATCGATTGGTACCAAAATCGCACAATTCCGATCGCTGAGTCACGAAATATCTCCATTCAAATAATTATTATTCTTTTTATATAGTGTCTCAAAGAGAATCATGTACTATACGTTTATAAAAATTTTTTTTTCGTTAAACAATTATCATGCAACGCTTATATTTTTATATATCGGGACTAGATCAAATGTTACGCATTATAAATATACTGTGTAATTAGAATTAGGGCCATCAACATAATCCTAAACAACCAACTTACCTGCCTATTACACTAACTTCATCCTCCTCATCTAGGATCGTTCCAAATCACCTCGGCCCAACCTCTGCAAATGAAGAATTGTGGTCAGAAATAGAAATGCTTAATAAAAAGGTTGAAGACTTAGAATCTGAATTAGATCTCTATAAAAATCCTGGTACCAGTCCCTTGTGACTGGTGCTTAAATATCCTTTGCACTATCATTTAAAGCAGATCGAAGAGCCGGAGCAAATGAAGAACAGCCTGAAACTCAACAGCCGAAAAAAAGATGCAAGACCATGCCTTTTGCTCAGCTTCTCACTAACGATGAATCATTGCGTTTGTTGAGGGAAGCAGAAGAGGAAGCAGAAAGAACTGCTAATAAAAAAAGACAAAAAAAAATAGCCACCTAACAACAGATAGCACAGAAGACCGAGAAGGTGCAGAAGCAGGAAATTCGCAAGCAAAAGAAAGAGGAAAGGGACCATATGAAGATGGAACAACAATGTATTAGAGAGGCAAAATAAATTGAAAAAAAAAATGCAAAAAAAAGTAGTACTACCTGATTACATATAGCCTGCATCATTTTTGGTCATTACCTCGATGATCTCGATTTTGGAAAGAAATTTTATACAATTATAAAAAGTTTTTTTTTTAATAATAAAAAGAATTTTTTTTTAAAAAAAAAACTTATTTCAAGTTAAAATAAACTTACTTTAATAAGGTTTGACAATATTTAAATCAATTTGATAAAGTTTTCATATCGGTATATTTAATGCATCATAATACCCATGCTCACCTTAATTTATCTTTTTTGTAGCTTTTTTTAAATTAAAGATATCTCGTGATCTAGCAATTAGAATCGGATGATTTTGGTATCATTCGATTTGTCTCGATGAGACGAATCGAATGGTACCAAAATTATTTTGATTATGATTGATAGATCACAAGTTATTCGCTATAATACTTAACTGTGTCATAATACCATACTCACCTTATAGTTAAAACTAAATTTTTTTTTTTTTTTCTACTTTGGCTATCTTGCCGGTATCCTTTATTAAGTACCTAATTGTTGAGTAAAACAAAAGGGGAACCAAGCCTATCTAATAATTGGGATCCAACACCCCACAGTTACTTCAAGAGCACTTACAAGTGATTGGCCACACTGAGCAGAAATATCTATATGAATACATCATAATGAGTTTCAAACTTGAATCTTCATCTATCTCAGAAGGCACTGTCAGACCACTACCCTACAATAGAATATTACCAAACTGATGATATCTTCTCATAAGGAAGTGGAAAGAAAAAAAAATTTTTTTACTAACACTAATACTAAAAGGAAGAAAAATAAACAAAAACTAATACTAAAAACAAATACAAAGATGAAATGTGGGAAAAAAAGAAAAAAAAAGAAATCTGACAGGTCACCATTATAAGCCTGTGTCGGGCTTTTAAAAATTACATCTTACAAAATAAAGAAGCTCTGTATCTAATACCTATTCTAAAGATATATATATAAAAAAAAAACTACGATAATACATAAAAAAAAAACAAAGCTAAACTAGTATACCAAACTAGACAGAATAGCCAAAATTGTACCGGTAGCCTCAGAGTATTGTTAACAGATCAATGGTATTTGAGTCACATCACTCTCACGTGTTGTCTTAGATTTGCTTTTATTCGTTCTCTAAGCCTATGCGGACAGATTCTTCGCGAGTGTACTTTTTCAGACAAACCTGGCCACGCAGGTTACTGAAACTTACCCAAAAGGGTAATCACTTCTAATAGAACCTCCTATTTTGGATAAACAACAATACTGGCTGTTTTGGAAATTTATATATTGATCTTTAGGAGAAGTAAGCTAAGACGCCCACTTTTTGACAAAATTTACTCGAAAAAAAGTGGTGGGACAATGAGACTTTTTTGTGATTGTTTCTTGTAAGTTTTATGGTTGTATAGAGATATCTAAAGTTTATAATACTCTTGGTGTTGACCTAGTCATTCTATGTTCCCAAAATACCCTTTTGGTTTGGATGCCGAATATGATAGAGGAGTCTGCCAGAAGAGAAGCTTGACCTCTACAAAAACTAGTCCAAAGTAGACCGCACCTCAGTTTTACACTCCTGGTACTTCATTGACAACACACCTACTTCTGTAAAACCAAGTTTATTATTTACTTTAGTGTCTTCTATAGCACTAACTGTAGTTCGGTTTTTTGATTTTTGTTGTCCAGGTGATCGTTGGAAAGAGTTGTTGCATATTCAACATAAGTTAAAACTAAATTAACCCAAATTATAAATTTTTAAATAAACAGTTTAAAATTTAATTTGTGATCTATGAGAAAACTAGTGAAAAAACTGAAAAAACATAGTAAACTTTGGAGATATATTTACTATATAAATTTTGTCTTTTTTGGAATCTGAAGTTTTCCCAAAGATAAATCATTTTATTACTAAGCAAACCTCTTTTTAACTTCTAATAAAAGTTGTAGAGAAGTGAATTTTGAGCAAAATAGTAGTTAAACCATTAAAATTGGCCTAGTAGATCATAAGATATAGACACTTTTGTCTTCACGATTATATGTTTACTTCTTTATATAAACAAAGAAGTAAACATATAGTTGCAAAGACAAAAATATCTATATCTCATGATCTACTAAGCTAATTTTAACGTTTCAACTACTATTATGCTTGAAATTCCCTTCTCTACAACTTTTGTTAGAAGTTAAAAATAAGTTTGCTTAGTAAGAAATCGATTTGTCTTTGGGGAAACTCTAGATTCCAAAAACAATAGTAAATGTCTCCAAGGTCTACTATATTTTTTCACTGGTTCCCTTATAGATTACGAATTAATTTAAATCTGGTTTGATTTATATAAACTTAGTTTAATTTATAAACTAGTAAAAACTTAATATAATGATAATATATAATGATAATATTTAAAAGTAATATAAAATTCTAAAAAATATACAAAAACTTAAATATTATTAAAAAAAATTTTTGAATAAAAATTTATAAAATATTATATTCACTTTATCTTATAAGAAAAAGAAAAAACTTTTTTTAATAATCCTCTGGTCAATGCAACAAAAAAAACTGAACTACAGAAAAATGCTATCCCTTAGATTGTAACACAGACAAATTTGCCTGCATATTTTAAAATTTTTAATAAAATTTTAAATATTGATTTTAGCCATATCTTTTCTAAGTAAAAA